GGGGGGGAACCCCTGCCCGCGGAGGGGACCCGCTGCCCTCAGGGCGCTGCGGGGACGGTGCGGGGGGGAGCTCTCTGAGGGCTCGCCTCACGGTTGTTGGTGTTTTCTGCTCCTTTTAGAGCGCCCGGTTGTCGGGATGGACAAGGAGGAGGAAGGCAGAGGCATCTGCCCGGCCTGGTGTCCCGCTACTCGGTGCTGGATGCAGTCACCTGGGTGAGGAGCAGCCTGGTGGCCCTCATCCGGAGGGATGTCACCAGAAGACCTTGGTGGGGGTTGGTGAAAGGGGACGGGAGCTGTGGGCACTGTGAGGCCCCTGGTGGGAAAGCTCCCCAAAACGGAGCTGTGGACACACTGTTGCGTAGAAGCGGGACGGGAAGAGGGAGTGGGGCTGTTTTCCTTGATTTGTGCCTGTTTTTTTTCTTCAGGGAGCACTCGGTGCGCTGCTTCTGCAGCTGGTCAGGCAGATCTCCTGGCTGAGATCACTGCAGGACGCCAGGAGGGAGCACAGGTCCCTCTGGCTCTCCTCGCTGCCCTCTCAGCAGACAGGTTAGCAGCTCTGGCTGGGGAGAAGGGGTTGTGGGAGGGCCGGGCTGTGGGACAGGATTTCTGCCGCATGGAATGTTAGCTAAGACTGGAAGAGAGCTGTTGTGAGAAGCTCACAACCAGCTTTCAAGCTCTCTGGGGAGAGTGAGGGCTGGTATCTGTCACGGGAATCTCCTTGTTTCTTAACAATTTGGTGCAGTTCCACTTTCCATCCCACGTGCCTTTGCCTTTGTTTTCTGTTCTGGACTCTGCTCCCTGAACCTTCCTCGGGCTTGGCTTTGTGCCGGTCAGAGCAGAAGGACGCTGGGTAGACACACAGTATGGTGGTGTCTCCTCAAGCAGGCACTGCACGACTAATGGGAACTGTTTTGTGCTCTGTATTTCAGCGGTGACTGAAGCCTCCACCAGCTGTCCCAGTGCGCAGCTGGGGTCCCACTTCCTGCAGAGAGAAAACCCAGAGGTCGTATCAGAGAACCCATCCTCAGGGATCCCCTTGGGGCAAGGAGAGAGCCAGCCCTGGGCAGAAGTGGGTACGTGCAGTGTGCTGCGGGGCAGGATACTTGTGGCAGGAGGACTCCTCAGTCTGAGTTTCCCCATGGCAAAGCTCAGGGCCAAGAAGCCTATTTATTGACACTTGAGGAGATAAGCTAGAGTGGAAAGACAGAACTTCAGAGAGATGAATCAGGAGTCCTGAGGCGGGAGAAAAAAGCTCCTGAAGGCAGGGAGGAGCCTGTGCTGTAACTGCGCGGGTGACATCGGTTTTACAAATGCTGGTCTGCCTTAGCGCTGTGATTACAACATCCAGTTTCTGTTCTTTTATTGTGGACAGATGTTTGCAGTCAGCAGGATTCAGGCAAATAGTGTAGCAGTGATCCGGGAGACTTGTGTACCTGGTGTGAAACTAAAGGAATTATTTTCTTCCTGGAAGGTGAGGATGTATTGCCAACCGCTTATGCTGGAGATAAGACAGTGGAAGGAGGTATCAAAGACGTTCTCATTAAAATGAAGTTTGTAAAAATAGGAGGATATACTTCAAAAAATACTGAAGTCGCTTCCAGGAAAGCATGTCTTAACGTGTTAAATTTAAAGTCATATCAAGGAGGATCAGATGAGGCCTCCAATAGGGCTACTCTCTAGATGTATAAACACTAATAATGGCTTCAGGAAAACCGTTAGAAGCAGGAAGCCTGATGGAGCAGGTACAAAAGGGGACAACTTATGATCGTGGTGTAGAAGCGGCACATAAAGAAGCCGGCCCACAGGTGTTGACAAGATGATGTAAGGTGTTGCAGAAAAAGTCAGAGGGGTTCCCCATTCTTCATTTTCTTCCAGATTTTTTGGCTTTCTTCTGTGCCGATGTAAACTGCTGCCCATCGCTGCTTATCAAACCCGTCTCCTGCCAGAGGTTGCCATTCCCATCAGTTGGCAAATGGAGCATTTTGTTTCCATGTCTCCTAATTAGCTCCAGGAAAACAGCCAGGTTAATTTACCTAAACTGCCAATTAGACTGTTTAACCCATCTGCTTTTGCCTGGAGTGTATTAAGAAGGAGTCAAACACGCCGCCCGGCTGGCGGATCGCTGGACAGGGACCTCTGGGAGAAGCGGTGGGGAATAAGTGGAGACAGTGATGCCTTCAGTTGGTGGAGCTGAACATTCGGGAAGGAACGTGTGTCTGTGTCTGACAAACGGTTTCCTACTGCGAGTCAACAGGAAGAGCTTTTAGGCAAACTGATAAATTGAACAGTGGCAAGTCACTAAGGCCACACGCTCTTTGTTCAGATGTTCTTCAGAAGCTCTGAAATTGCTGAGCCTCTAATGATGATATGTGATCCAGTGCTTAAGTCTGCTGTATGGCCAGAAGAATGAACACTGACAGATTGGATGCTGGCTTTTAAAAAGGGGGGGTGGTTTGAGGCGCAGAACTGCAAAAAAGGTAATTTTAAGTTGATAGAAACTGTGTTATGGAATAGAGATGTTAGATACCTGGATGAGTGTGCTATATCAAAGAATCAAAGGTCTTGGAAGGATTTAGGAAGCCATTTCTCAGGCCAGCTTGCTCCATTGCAGAGATTTAAGAGAGTTGTAAATCTATTAAGAGTTCTTTGGAGAAGTCAACAGGCTGGTGGAGCAAGATTATCCAGCTTTTAGCTTTCAGAAAATCTTTCAGCCAGAACCTAAAACAAAGCCATCTGGAGAAATAAAGCTGATGGGAGGGAAGACAGAGGGGTTACTCTTGGGCTAGTAACTCCTTAAAGTACAAGAAGTAGTTTTCACCCTGGAGAGCATTTACTGGTGGATTCCCCTAAGTCCTTTGTTGAAGCCTGTTCTGTTCAGCACAGTCAGCAGCGATTTGGAAAAAAGAGGTGACGAGTCAGGTGACAGAAGAAGCAAACAGTACAAAATTATTGAGGACAGTCAAATGTGAAAGTCACAGCAAAAGATTGCACAAGAACTAAAACCAGAGTAATCCCAAGGCAGGTTAAATTAGTATACACAGGGGAATGTAACTGTAAATACACATACAGAGTGAGGAGCATCAAATTAATAATTATGTTGCAGAGGGAACATTTAAAGTCACCGTGGATTTATTTTTGATAAGGCTAAGTCAGTGCTGAGCAGCAGCGAGGCCAATTAAATGTTAATTATTGTAAAGGAAGGAACTGAGGACAAGGCAGTATCATAGGCTTGTGTAAGTCTATGGTGCAGCCTCATTTCGAACACTTAAGGAAAAGACACTCTGTCTTAAAAACAGTAATAAAAATGGCATAGAAAAGGATGACAAGGAGACAATTAGATACAAATAGAGACTGACTCCTCAGCTCTTAAAAAAGCTTCAAGAAGTGGCAGAGGGTATGTTAGTGCTCTGTGAAACTCAGAAGTATTGAGGGAAGGTGAACAGGGACAATATTTTTCATTTTACCCGTATTAATAGGCAGCACAGAAGTGGTCAGGTGGCGAGTTTGCAAGAAGGCAAAAGGCAGTACGTGTTTGGCCAGTGCACAGGTAAATCACCAAACCCGTTGCTACGGGCCAGAAATATAAATGGGTTCCAAGAAGTGATTAGGTAAAATTGCGTGTTCAAATTAAACTTAATTGGTCCAGCCAAAACCTGCTCAGAAGATCACAGAACGGCTAATCGCTGGAAAGTTCTGCCAGGAAGAGCGTGACTTTATAATCCTCATTCCTTCCACTTTCTGCCCAGGCATCTACAACTGTCAGTTGTCAAAGATAATATATGTCAGAAAGAATTTGATTTTGCTCAATACCTAAGTCCTCAGGTTACATTCTCACATGATGCTCTACATCCATTTTGTGGGAATTTGTTGAGAAAAGTCAGGGTGAAGAGATTCAGTAACTTTCACTGAAGAATCTGAAAAAATGCATACATGATGCTCTACATCCATTTTGTGGGAATTCGTTGAGAAAAGTCAGGGTGAAGAGATTCTGTAACTTTCACTGAAGAATCTGAAAAAAATGCATGGTTTTGTGATGTGAGAAGTCCAGTAAATCTTCCCGTGGAAAAAAATTTAAAGCGAAGCTTGGTGATGCCCTTCTTGCAGAATATGCTTTACTTTCTACAGGAAAAGCTGCCTAAGATTGAGGGTATTATTATATTATTTTTTTTGGTTCCTGGTGTTTAGCTACAGAAAGAGAGTGAGTCTGGCTAAATCAGAAGGCAGCAGGAAGCTGGGGAGAGCAGAAGGAAGGGAAGGACAGACAGATGATGCAGGGGAATCTGGTAGCAAAGCCTTGCCATTAGAGAACAGATCTCCAGAACTCGGAGCAGAGCAGAATGTACCTTCCCTTCTCCAGTTTGCTGTTGCCAGCAGTGGCAAAGGACCTTAGAGAGAGAATTCCACGTTCTCACCCTTTTTTCTTTCAGCTTCAGTTAATTTCCAGATTTTGCTTGTGCTGCTCTGGGTGTTCGGTGACAATCTGCTACTGCTGTCAGCTCCTTCCCTACCTCGGGTTGCAGAGATCTTTGTGATGGATCCAAACATCCCAGCTTCGCAGATGAGCCGTTCCAGTTTTAACATAACACAATATGATAGAATCTATTACTTTTAGTGTGTATATAAAAAAAAAAAAAAAAACAACACTCAGGAAATTAATTTAAAAGTTGCTATAAATAGCATTCTGGATATTACTATCAGCAAGTCCTCAGCTGCATGATCGCATCCAATTTTTTCATGCAATTCGTGCCTCACTCGAAGCTTTTCTTTTTTTGCCGAAAGTTAAAGGCACATATTGAACGAGCAGGTGATTACAGCCAGTCTCAGTGTTATAGCAGCTGAATGCTGCCCTGGGGAGTTGTATTTTACCCCTGGCAGAACTGTAAAATTCGTTATTTCAATTCTGAGATTACAGACATTTTGAAAGCGTGTTTTCATTTCAAAGCACAATGAAACCAATTGGAAACACTAAAATTTTCCATGAGGCAGAAATCCTGGATTTTGTCCAGCTCTTGTTGTGAATTCATTCCTGTGAAGCGTTTGGATGTTTGGGGATGAGCAATCTAGACTGTCTACGAGAAGATTATTAATTCCTCGTTTGGAGCTAGCTTTGAGCAACATTTGATTAGTACAGGATGAACAGTGGGGAAATACAAAATATTTATTAGCTGCTGAATATGTGAGTGTTGGGCATCCAGTACACCCAAAGCTGCATGACTGCATGGCAAAAAGGATGCGTAGTCGCGTTAGATCATGGCACATGTTTGAAGAAGTAGAAATAAAGTTCCACAGCAAATTCCAGCTGCGGTTTTCCCAGCTTTTGCGTGCTTGGAACACACAACCTTCAGAATAATTTCACAGTGCTGTGTGTGCAACGTAGCAGCGAATTTGTTGAAAGCCTTTGAAGTTCTGCTGAAGCTTGACCGTTCTTTGGGAAGTAGGAAACAAACAGTTGGGGTGAACGTGTATTCATTGACATCAAGTTGAAGGTTAATCTGAGCTGGTGGCCTCATTCTGCTGGACTGGGATGGGATCCTTTGGGTGCTTTGATTTCCCTGTTGAGGGAGCCCAAGCCATGTGTTTAGATTGTGTGCCCGCTTTTGAGGCAGCTGCTCTGAAACAGGAGAGTCTTAAAAGTCATGATATCCCTGAAGAGATTTGATTGAGGCTTGCCCAACCTCGAAGAGAGAGGCTCATTAATTGGAGAGAATTCATTAATCTAGTCCTTCAGGAGACGGGGCTGGGTGTCAGGATCAGTGGATCCCCGTGTTTTCTTGGCAAATGACCTCCTGCTCTTCGGGAGTGGTACTTCTAATCTTAGGACATTACTGGGATTTGAGTGAGGAAGGATTTCCAGCGGGAGAGGGGCAGGCGACAGTTTTGCAGGCTGATAAAATTCAGAATTAATTTTGTTTATTTTCCATGGGTTAGTCGTTTGTCCAAATTGCAGCATATTTTCTCTGTAAACGAGGAATCTCTGATTTAGGAGTAGATGTCTATGCCAAATGTAAAGTTTCCTGAAAGCGTGAATGTACTAATGATGTGTAAACAAATAGTTGGGAGAATTTTTAATACAGACATTTTCTTCAATGAGATTTGCTGCTGGAGGTAGGGCAAAAAAAATAAATTACATCATGAGGGAGATACCTGAGCAAGAGAGAGAGTCTTACGGTGAGAAAGATCAGATAATTTTATGCCTGATCTGAAAATAAATGTAAAGCACAACTAATAAATTCTCGGATTATATTACTTTTGATGGAATGATGAATAGAAATTGTGTTTGCTGTGGCCATCTTGCTTGTTGGGTGAGTGGGGCTTGTTGAGATAAAACACATTTTAATACAGCCAGGGGGGAATTGTTTATCTGGGAATAATGAGGCTGCAGCAGGAACGTGGGGCAGGGCTCCCTGTGTGTTGTGAGACGGTGCGGGCACTGCAGGAAGCAATTCTGCCTGTTGCACACTCCTTTCTGCCAGCACAAGGGCTCGTGTAGCTGTATAGTGCCAGAAATCAGGGAATTGGGCACCCCAAACCCCCTGATTTTCCACTCGTATTAGCTCCCTGCTCTGCAGCTTGGGAGGGGGACAGGGAGAGACGGGGAGGGCGCAGCTATTTCTTACCAGCAGCACTGGTTTGAAGTGGTCCAGGCTCCGGTGTCCGGTGGGATCCAGCTGCTTAGGGCGATTTGAGTTAAAAATAATTGGCCTCAGGCAGCCCTGGCCTGTTCGTCCTCTTTGCTGGAGGTCACTGTCCTCTCAAAGCAGCTGGTGCAAATGCCCGTGTAATCACTTCCAGCACGATTTTGCTAAGAACGAGGTGGCTCAGCTTTTGCTGTAGATGTTCTCGTTAGATAATTCTGATTGAAACTGGTCGGAGAGTGGCCGAGCACGTGGCTTTGCCAGCGTTTCTAAGAGGGCAGCCATGAGCGAGGGGGGCACAGCAGGGTGATAATTTAAGCCTGCATCCCGTGCAGCCAGAGTAGTGTGTCTGATCTTCCCCTTGGAGAAGCAGAACTATTCCCTGGAAAGAAATTACCTGGAAAAGGAGGGAGGGAGGTGAGCACCTAAGCGTGAGATCTCGGTGTGATGCCCTGGGCAATGGGAAGAGATGCCCAATCCTGACATGCGCAAACGAGGTGGTTCCAAGTTCAAATAAGGAGGCAATTTTACCCTTCCTGTGACACTGGGGAGAGGGTCCGTGCTTCAGTAACCACGTTGAAAATTCAGGAGTAGTGGCAAAAAGTCATAAAATTAATCAGCTCGGGCAGAAAAGCACTTGAGTTGAAAGACGTGAGCGGCGCCGTCTGTTTAGAGTCACAGACAAGAATCAAGAGGGGTTGATTAGTCGTATCAGGACTTTCAAAAGGAGAATGGGCTTTTTAGTAGAGAGGAGAAAATAGGCCTAGAAGAGCCAGTGCCTGTGAGCAGAAACCAGATGTATTTTAATTTGAAATGAAGCAGAGAGGTTTAAAGGGACGATTATGAGTGGGGGAGACAAACTTTCAGAAGAAGGAGGACATTCTCTATCATTTGGTGTCTTCAGAACAGGGCTGGGGGCCCTTCTGGAGGAGGTGTGTTCTCCAGCTGCAGGTTACAGGACTCTATTCACGTGGCATTTTGTGGCTTTTACAAAGGTCAGATTGGTCACTGTCCCTTCTGTTTTTACTGTCCCTGGCTGGGCAGGTGATCAGTCCTCTGGGAAAGAGCTGTGGAGTGGAAAGGATGGGAACAGGAGGAAGAGGTGAAGATACAGCGTGACTTAAACTTGATTTTTCTGTTCTTTTCTTCATGTAGGGCAGTCCCCTAACTCTGAGAGTTCCAGCGTGGGGACATTTCTCTGCTCTCCAAAGGTAAGCTTTCCTTTTTCATGCCCTCTGCCTGCACCTTATGACCCTTCCCTACAGGAGGGACATCTCAATGCCATCCCAAGCCCAGCCTGAGCAATCCACTCGCACCGAGACTGTTTTCTGCCCTGTGTAGCTGGAGGCCAGGAGAAAGAGAGATGTGATGTGCTGCCTTGTGCTTTAGCCAGAGCAAAGTTCCAGCAACTACAGATTGGCATCCCCATCCTTTCAGGTGTCTGTAACAGTGGTGCCAGTAGAGAACTGAAAGAAAACGGAAAAAAAAACCCCAAACCAACTAAAAAAACCCCAAACCCTATCCAGTAGCACCAGTCTGTTCTTGTGTATTTGCATTTTGATGCAGTCTTTCACTAGGTGATGACATGCTGTTGCTATTTTGGTTTTGACCAGACAACCCATGACTGGAGAAGGGGGTGTCACTCCTCCTGAAGCTGCAAATCAGGGCTGGCTCTTGTCTGTTAGAGAGAGGAAGACACTTTGGGCTTGAAAAGGATGCATCAGCTTGAGAGTCACAAGGCTGTAAATTATATTATTGTTCTTGCTGTGATTAAAGCTGCTAATTCCTTGCAATTCACAGTCTTCGGTGCAGAGAATTCTGCTTTTTAAGAATCAGTCAGTTGAGCAATTGCTCAAGGGCAGTTTGAACGGGATAAATTTGGTATTTAACAGAGTGGGATCCTCTCTTTGACATGGAAGTGACCTCCAGAAAGGCATTGGCTTGATTTGCTGGGGGGGGCAGAGCGTTGAGCTCCCCATCCTGGGAGGTGCCACGTTCTGCAGGGCCCTTAGGAAGGTCTACAGCTCGTTTTCACTGAATTTCACTGAATTTTAGAGTTGGAAGGGACCATAGAGATCATCTAGTCCAACTCCCCTGCTGAAGCAGGATTGCCCAGAGCTTGTCAGAGCATGTTACTCAGGAGCATCCAGGCGGGTCTTGAAAATCTCCAAGGAAGGGGACTCCACACCCTCCCTGGGCAGCCTGTTCCAGGGCTCTGTCACCCTCACTGTGAAGAAGTTTCTCCTCATATTTGAGTGGAACCTCTTCTGTTCCAACTTGTGTCCGTTGCCCCTCGTCCTCTCACTGGCAACTGCTGAAAAGAGTCTGGCTCCCTCCTCCTTCTACCCACCCTTGAGATACTTGTCAGCATTGATAAGGTCTCCCCTCAGCCTTCTCTTCTCCAGACTAAAGAGTCCCAGCTCTCTCAGTCTCTCCTCATGAGGGAGATGCTCCAATCCTTGAATCATCTTTGTTGCCCTTCGCTGGACTCTTTC